AAGAAAGAAAGAAAGAAAGAATGAAAACGCTCAGCAAAGTTTACTTCTGGGATTCAAACGAGATAAAACAAGAGCAAGAAATTAAAAGCCATCACTAATTTGCTCTTTTTGTTCGGAACAAACTGCTGCTGCTAAACTAAAACACAAAAACTGCTATAAAAATAAGCGGGTATTAGYGAAAGCATCAAAAAATGAAGGCAAAATAAAGTCAGGGACACAATTAACGTGTTTTGGCTGAGGCTGTTTGAAGAAAATTCATTTGCTTTTTATATGGACACATGTAGCCAACAGAGAGAACCTGAAGAAAATAATAATAATCAAAGCAAAGATTCAGAGTCTTTGAACACAAACAGGATTTTAGTTGATGGTTTAAATGTTTCAGTCATAAACTGTTTTAGATTTACCACTAACTATGTCATCTTGATTTTTTTAAATAACCTTGTTGGAGAGTGACTCTAGTTTACGTCTACACCACGCGTTTGTTAAGAAAAAATTATWTTTCTACTTATCCTGTTAGTCGGACATAATCCTTTAAAAGCTTCTACAAGTTTTAGCTCCAAATAAACAGGAAATTCAGCTGCTTTTTTATGTAGCAAATAAAAATAATCACAATAATGAACAGGCCCARCTCAGTTGTTGAGCAAATATCACTTTTTGTCGTCTCTTTAGTTTGTCCTATAGTTGCATTGTGGCAAAAAAGTTGTTTTTTTTTTTAAGTTCCTTCCTCATATTGGAAAACAGAAGCAAAGAGAAAAAAAATACAAGAACTAGACACAGGAGTTGACAAAGACAAAAACTGAACATGTATGACACGCAACATCGTATCCAAGCAGAATAAATCAGCGACTCACTGGTTCCTTCCCACCATCGTAGTAATCGAACGACAAACCTGTGAATGAGAAAACGCAGCAGGTGTCAGCAGCTGAGGTTTTTATTAATCACTGAACATCTGAAAAAACAGAAGGTTTACATCAAAGGCAAACACAATTAGACCTTAACAAAAGATATTTCATAAAAACTATAAGATTTAAATGGAAGAAAGAAGCACAAAGTGAGCTGTGATCAACTCACCAATAAGTTTAAGAGTGAGGACACAATGAGGCATCGTCCACTTGATGTCATACTCATCCGTCGCTGTATAATAATAACCTAACAGTAGGTACACCTATAGAAAAAACACAAATCAAAGCAACTTTTACTCACAAATCAGTGTAGCAAAGAGATTACMAAGAGGAGACACTCAAGCATTAACCTTTAACATCATCATAAATGTTCATTTCCTTTTCATTCCTTTAAAAAAGGGTTAAAATAGAATCGGCCTTTTGACTTTGTATAAGAAAACTTAGACAACAAAGAAGTGGGTTGCTGTATTCATGATCAGTAAAATCTATTTAAAATATAAAAGATTTACTTATTGAGACAAAAAAAGACCTTAAACATCAATCCCTTTCCTGAGCTTAAAAATATTTATTGATAATGAACAACTATGTATAATATTTCATACCATGTTCTTTTTTGGTTAAAAATAAGTTATAATGGAAAGGCATTGTGGGAAAACACCTATCAATGACTCAGTAACTTGTTGAACAGGCTCCAACTAAAATAACTTAAAGCAACTTTTTTTTATTTGGTTTATCAGTCTCTCACATCACTGTGAGGGATTATCATCACAGACCTGTTTTAAACACTGCGTCAGATTTATGTACAAGTTTCTAAAGGAACAGAATTTCATAAGGTTTCGAGTTAAGAAAAGAACCGAGGTGCTGCATTAGCCCAACTCTTCTGCTGTGGATTTGCTTCTGAGSTTCAGATCACCGTCCTGTTGCACGACCCAGTTTAAGCTCAGACTTTAATTAATATTTCTGCTGCACAGAGGAGACTACAGGTGTCCAGCTGCAGTGGCTGCAGATCAAACCCAGATTATCAGCCTTCTCAGCAGAGTTTGTGCTGATATGCTAAATTATGGCTAATCACCATTTCACACAACATGTCAGTTCAAAGATACATTTTGAAATATTTATGTGGTTAAAACTAAGCTGTGTTGAAATACTCTTTTTTTTAACAAAACAGTCTCTTCTTGCAACCCTTCCAAACAAGTAGTCATTGTTTAGTGTGTGACTTAAAAACAGCTTTTAATAAAATTGGATAAAGCTAACTTTTAGTAGCTCATTGGAGCCTGCAGAGTCTGGTTCCTTCTCATTTTTACGTTTTACACCATCTGAGATCAGACCTTGTTTGATCATCCCATCTTATTATAAAAAGACTGCCACCTCCCTTGAATGTTTRCCACTTGTAAAGATGTGTAAACATTTGGTGTTACAGAAGAGCTGACTGTATTTCAGCTAACAGATCGGCTTTTTTATGCCAAATATTTCATCTGAAAAAAGTAATGTCCTTTAGTTTATCACGCGCTGCATGTTCTTTTTTAGTTCTTTCTTTTTAAAAACTACAGTAAATAAAGATTATATGTTGTTTTTGTATTGCATTAACTTTGTTTTAAGTGCTATKAAAAACCTGATTGTTTTTGAATATTCTCTTTAATAATAAAACTTCAGAAGTCAAGGAGGGTATACTTGTGTGACTGMATTCATTAATATACTGAGAAAGTATCTCACAACAGTGACAAATCTTCTTAAAATTTTAAAATCATAAGCAATTAAGCAATCTCAGAAATAATAAAARTGTATTAACCTTCCTAGAAGGTCTTCTAAGCAAAGCTTTTGATTTACCCACTTAAGTTTTTTTTCCTCCTTTCTGAGATTAGTCATGATTTTTTAAACATTTTATTCATTCTTTTGAGATTATAAAGCTGTCCTTGTACCATTTTCAAAAGCACCACTATCCTTTTATTTTATTATTTTTTATTTATGTTTTTTTTAATATGTGAGAAGAGAGAAGATACGTGGGGACCAATAGATTTAACTCAAAGTCTCCTACTTTTACAGAAAGAAGCCTTTTTAATGCAACAAATAACATGAATCCAGACTTCTAATCCTGGTCTTGCAGAAAAACTGAACATTTTGTTTTCAAAAGTTGATTTTTATGACGATATGTCACAAAGAAATGCTCAGAACAAACACAGACAAACATTAACATAAGCTGAACACAAAAAAATMCCATTTTTACTGGAGACATTGGTGTTTTTATCATCATAATTTTCATAAAGTTATTCATGAAGCATTTTCTTGCACCCTGTCATCATTTTTACACATAACTTAAGTAATTTACTGTAATATTCCCTCATTGTAATGATGAAAAACTGCTCACCATTTGAAAGGTGAAACTGCACAGGACCGTCGTTACYGTCCTTCCCATCAGCCTCAGCATCAGAAACTGGACAAAGACGCATATTACGGAGTGATAGAGCTGTGAGCCTGGGGGGGGGGAGAGAAGAAGGGATGGGAATGAAGGTGAGTGCAGTGGGGTGCGACCCATCAGACTCAACAGCATTTCGTTGGCACATTTCAGCATCGGCTGAGAAAGGTAAACCCACAAACAGGAACACAACTTTAAACCAGATTTGAAGGAGAGAAAGGAGAAACGTGAAGCAACAGACCTGCTGTTAAATCCAAGTGAAGGCACAAAGACAATGAAAAGGAGAAGAAAAACATTAACGTTTGCATCCTGTTCGACCATGAATATGATCAACTGTWCATCCTTTCCCTCTGTTAGATACATTTGTGATCACTTATCAACTTAGTTTGACCTACTTCAGCTTCCTGTTGAAACCAAAAAAGATAAAAACATGATATATGTATGTACACATGTATGTATGTGTATACATACATACATACATACATACWTACWTACATACATACATACATACATACATATATACACACACACACCATCATGTCCGGATCACATGCAGAATTTTAATCTACATTTCTAGTGGTCAGACCAGCAGGCAAAGTTAAAGAGAACCACATGTACGACTTCAGAAATAACTTGACAGAAGCTGATGATTCATCCATATGCAAAACACACAGCCTGATCTGCAGATATACAGATAATATCAGACGTTCCCACAGGCTRTGGATTCAAAATAAGATGAAAAAGAACCGTTTCATTTTGTTTTAATCCACTGCAGGTTATGTGGTTTTATGAAAGTGCCGGTATTTAAAGAAAACAAACCAGGAGAAGTGTTTGTTCCAGTATTATTTAATAAGATGAAATCAGCAGCATTAGATTCATGTCGCAGATCATGTCTGTAAACATCAAAGTCATATTTGGGTTTTTGTTTTCTTTGGAAAACTGTTGAACAAGTCATGAACAACTGAAAGTCTTCAGCCAACCATGTTAGGAGAGCTGCAACGAATATGCAGGTCTCATTTTAAAAAAAGTGTATTCTTACTGACATTTTTTAAATGTTAATACCTTCAGAAAGAAATCAGTTGCCTGGAAAAACAACAAGTCCACCACTGTTTTACTAAACTTTAACACGTTCTGTTACTTTTGAGTTAAAAATGTACAAAAAAAAGTTTTTGTTTTAATTTCTTTGTTATTTCTAATGGAACATTAAATATCTTTGAAWTTGAACACAAAACCCCAACTTGTTTCATCTTGAGCTTCTAGAAGAGTAAAGGTTTTTGACTTTAAAGCCAATTAATATGTTTTTCTCTGAATCAGGTCATCCGACCTCTGACATACATKATAAAATCCCTGAAGGATTTAAAGATTTCATTTTATTTACGTTATCTAAACKCCAACGCAAGAGACGAGGACAAAGATGACTCAGCAAGTGAACGTGGAAGCGATGAATCATTACTTCAAGATAACTGAAAACTCTGCTTTAGTTTGTGATTAGAACAGTCAGGTCGAATATTTGATGTTCTGGTGACTAACTGCAGGTTTAAACAAAGCTCGTTTGTTTCTCCAAGAACTTTCATCAGGTGAACTTTAAAAAAAAACTAAACTTTTTATAAACTCAGAAAAAAAACTTATTATCAGGACATTCTACAAATATGAAATATAGCATCAGAATACAACTTTACATGTATAAATGCATTTCAACTATTGGGTTTTTTTTTTTCCACCCATGAGACATTTCGTTTTGGTCTCACCAAAGTTGAACGCAGCTAGAGCCAAACCGGAGAACGTGTGGAACAAGTGGATGACTGAGGCGGGCTGGTAGAAGAGGACCCATCGGTACAGCAGTGCAAAGGGATACCCTGCAGTAGAAAGAGACAGAGATACACAGAAAATATGTTAAGTGTGGCTACGACATGTTCCTCCCACCACACCAGCCGAGTTCACACTTCCTGTAACAATGACCTTGTGGTGGTGAAAGTAAGACACACAAAACGAGCCCTGTTGGAATCTACATATCAATGAATCAATGGTTAAAAAAAATTGATTTTTTTTCCACAAAATATGAAATTATTTGGAAGTATGTCATCACATCTTTAGTTATTTTTAAAAGTATGAAGTCCAGGAATAAGGTGGAACCTCCAGGTTGGGGGTAGARGAGTTCTAGTATCTAGGAGTCTTGATCACAAGTGATGGGAAGAATTTAAAGATCGAGGCTTGGTCTGCAGTAATGAGGGTGTTGCTCCGATCAAACGTGGTGAAAGAGGAGCTACTAAGAGGCAAAGCTCTTAATTTATTGCTCAGTTTATGAAACAACACCTCCTGTGTCTCTCTTTCTAGTTGTTTTTTCTGACGCGTCCCACTAGGAAGAGACCTTGGGGCAGAACCAGGACTGTCTGGAGGGATTTAGTTTTCTCTCTGGCCTGGGAACTACCCAGAAGGAACTGAGGAATGTCACTGGAGGGACGACATTCTCTCCTGGACCTGTTGCTTCCACCACAACAGATAAGCAACAGAAAACGAATAAAAAGATGAATATGGGTTCAATTAAAAATCCCAAATCAACAATAAATTCATCAAGCTGCCTTTGGCTACTCTAAAGGCACCTGGGTCAGGCAGCACAGTTGAACTGTGAGGCGTTTATATTGTTTTTTAATAACCTCTGTGTTATCTGGCATCTTTATGCACAGTTGAACATGTGCTATTTGCCCTAGATTAGATTTGCTTTAACCTCTCGCTTTGCTTATAGGTGTAGAGCAGTGTTTCCCAAAGTTGGGGTCGGGACCCAAAGTGGGGTCCCGAAACATCAAGGTGGGGTCCTGAAAAGATTTTCTGAATTAATTACATTTTTGCCTTAGTTGTTACAAATGAGTGAGGTTAGTGTATTTAAAATGGATAAATGTCGTATAAAAATAATTTTTACTATGCCCATGTTTAGTTGACCTGATACAAATGTTTATCATCCAAAAATAGCTGGGGGCACAGGTCTCTGCTACTGTTATTTTGTGGGTCAAAAGCTGAAAAGTTTGGGAACCACTGCACTTTGGTTCCCCAAGTTGGGCTTGGGACCCAATTATGGGTCATGAAGGACCTTGGATAACCTCCAAAAATCTATTTAAAGGGTAATAAAATAATTGCAGATGTAATATTTTCCCTATAATTATTACAAAAACACAAAATAAGTATAAATAAGTAGTTATATTTGTGTACAAGCTGTTTAGATTGTCAAAAAACCTGTGTTTTTAGGGTTATTAAATGAAGTTCGTGTACTCAGACCAGTAATATTTGGGGTCACAAGTTTTTGCCATGGATATTTTGTGGGTCAGAAGATAAAAAGTTTGGGAACCACTGGTGTAGAGGACATAAAATGTGAAGTCACAGAAGGGTCTGAGGAGACAAGATTGTTATGGGAGACATATTAGGACAGTAAAACTAGTCTTGTTTATTAAAAATATGCTGCAATCCTATGAGACAAGTCTAGGCCATGTTTAATCTTAAGGCAGGCTCTTACACGCTTCTGAGCCACAAAAACCATAAAGGAAACCGAAACCAAACTGTCAAATCTCATAGGTTTATTTTTTTACATTTCATTTTCCAGCTGCGCCCCCCAAAAAGGCCATCTTTCTCAAATCAAAAGCAAATAAACACAGACAAATCGATATTAGTAGTGTAAGACTGTTAACTAGACAACTGCAACATTATGCAACGCACATTAAGCAACTCACAGGCCACAGAGTTTGCTAACAGTGCAAAAGAGCGTGCAAGAGGCTGACTCAATGAGTTAATGCAACCAAAGTCTAATCATCGTCCACTTCTTCGTATTTTGACTAAATCTGACCACATTCTAAGCCAACCTGAAACCAGCTCTGACAGCTTTCAGGGTAAAGCTAGAACTGATGCTCACAATAAAAAACAAGCCCTGCAAAGTGCACCTAAATACACAACTGACCTGTTATAATCCCAGATTCACAACTGCATGTTTATAAAAACTCAAACTCATCATCAGCTTTAGCTTTATTGAGCAGTAATGATGACCTGGACTTCTCTGGTGGTGAAATGAAGAGTTGGCAGCCTGTCCACATTCCCATACCGCCCTCAATGACACGTTTTAAACCACCCTCTGCCATACATTTACACCTGCAGCCCAGTTCAACTGACTGTGTCCCAGTCTTTGTCAGAGCTCAGTAGTTTTAAAAACAATTCCCTAAATTAGGAGGAGCGATTATTGAGGTACATATGTCTGGAAGCATGTGCTCAAATAATACAACATGAAACCATACACAGTGTCTCTAGTTTTGCTTTCTGGTTCAGTGAGAGTTAGCCGACACACAGTTACACGGAACAGATGATAGGAAACAGTCGGACCCGCCGCCCGGTTCCACGGCAGCGGCTCCTCCAGCTAACACCAACCACCAACTCACGAGGCGAAACTCACCGATTAAAATGGACAGAATGAGTCGAACCGCTGGCTCCGGAGAACCCAAAGACTCCGACAGTTTCTCCAGCAAGGGAGCCGCCATCTTTCTTGTGGGCGGAACCAACTAAAAAATAAAAAATAAAAACGGTTCAGTCACTGAACTTTTCCGAAAGGGTTCCGCTTCTTTTAAAGGCTCGGACCGTCCGGTGACCCACAGCGCGGGCGGCGCTCGTTCCAGCTGTCAAATCACCCTCTTCCGACTTCTGTTCACATTCCTCTACTCAGTGTTATTTTTATTAGTAATGTTTGTATTGAATTAAAATATGTGTCAAAACTACATGCAGTAAACCGGCTAACCGGTAAAATAAAATGAAAAATAAAATAAAAAATAATAACATAATGTCGATAATGTAGAGTGGTGAAAGTATGCCCCCATGTGGCCACTTATAGAACTACAGCTGTGAATGATCAATGATCAAAGATATTGTTTTTTAATCATTTAAATGTGTGACTTCAATTCCAAATACCTAACATCTTTCATTTAATTTTAGGAATCATAAAAGAGAGCACAAAACTATTATGTTTGACTGACGGTTAAAAGACCCATTGAACTCAGTGCTTCAGGGTAAGAGTACTACTGGGTGGTGATTGGTTGTTGGAGTATAGCATGAGGTAGAGGAGGGACTTTGATGCGTTGCATCACTCAACCWGGGGGAGTTAGAGTTGTGGTGTTACATTTTATAGTATGAAACATAAATACAGACAGATGGATAGAGTTTGTAGAGTTTATAATTAGCATAGCTCAACTCGCAGCGTGGGGGGTTCACGTCACTACTTTACCACAAATCTGTGATTTCATTATTAATCCAAGGGTATTTAATATGTAATTTATAATAAGTGTTAACCATTGCGACACATATTAAACTAAAGCTGACAATTTTATTTAACACAACAGAGGGGGCTTCTCRTTATGAGAAACCTACTAGACAAATAGCTAAAGAGCTACATTCCTGAAGTCATAACAGGTGTCCTCGTCAGGTCAACTACAGTCAACACAGAACTTTCAGTTATGGTGTCAAAATCCAGAAGGAATTCTAACAATACTTAACTATTAATTACTTGTAAAATAATATTATGTGAGGTAAGTATTACGTTAAACATTTTATTTCACATAAATTACAAGAAAAATAACGATGTTCGACGGCAATGCATTCTGGGTATTTGAAACGCAACCTTGAAATTGTCCAATCAGAACGTTCATTTTGTCGTCATAAAGYATAGAACTCATAAATACTAGAGACCTTGTGGCGGGCTGAATCACATCGCGTGGCGCCGCCATATTGGAAACTGGTTCTTCTCTTTAGGCAGCACTGGAGCGAAAGAATATGCCCTGATTTGCATTAATCTACTAAGTTTTGAAGGCAGATCACATGGGATTACAATTTTATAAGTAAGACTGAACAATAATTTTGATTATTTATCATTTATAATATTTTATTATTTTTAGCTAATTTTATTTGGCAATCAACGAAACGATAACATCAGGAGCTTGTTCTCATTATCTCTTCCTGGTTTTTTCTTCACATAGACCTAGTGACAGACTGAGAAGTTCTAATCAGAAGAACAGAGGGTTTTGCTCATTCAGACTCTGAAGAGAGCACATCAAGACAAAAGACTGACAGGACGGCTCAGATTGTCAGGATTAGACGTGATGTTAAAATGTAAATATACTTTAGTATACACATACTGTGACTGCAGCACCTGCAGCCACACAGTAAATAAAGGTTGTGTCAGTATTTTACTGTTTGGTATCTTATGGGTTTGTTTTTGTAAATGTATAAATTTCATTAAGCTAAGTTAAAAGAGTTGTCAGTTCCTTTAGCGAGGCAGCTGCAGTCGTCCTGCCCCTCAGTGTAAACAGCCCCTCAATGTAAACAGCCCCTCAGTGTAAACAGCCCCTCAATGTAAACAGCTCCTCAGTGTAAACAGCCCCTCAGTGTAAACAGCTCCTCAGTGTAAACAGCCCCTCAGTGTAAACAGCTCCTCAGTGTAAACAGCTCCTCAGTGTAAACAGCCCCTAAGTGTAAACAGCTCCTCAGTGGAAACAGCCCCTCAGTGTAAACAGCCCCTCAGTGTAAACAGCTTCTCAGTGTAAACAGCTCCTCAGTGTAAACAGCCCCTAAGTGTAAACAGCTCCTCAGTGGAAACAGCCCCTCAGTGGAAACAGCTCCTCAGTGTAAACAGCCCCTCAGTTTAAACAGCCCCTCAGTGTAAACAGCTCCTCAGAGTAAACCGCTCCTCAGTGGAAACAGCTCCTCAGTGTAAACAGCCCCTCAGTGTAAACAGCCCCTCAGTGGAAACAGCTCCTCAGTGGAAACAGCTCCTCAGTGGAAACAGCCCCTCAGTGTAAACAGCCCCTCAGTGTAAACAGCCTCTCAGTGTAAACAGCTCCTCAGTGGAAACAGCTCCTCAGTGGAAACAGCCCCTCAGTGTAAACAGCCCCTCAGTGGAAACAGCTCCTCGGTGTAAACAGCCCCTCAGTGGAAACAGCTCCTCAGTGTAAACAGCTCCTCAGAGTAAACAGCATCTCAGTGTAAACAGCTCCTCAGTGTAAACAGCATCTCAGTGTAAACAGCTCCTCAGAGTAAACCGCTCCTCAGTGGAAACAGCTCCTCAGTGGAAACAGCTCCTCAGTGTAAACAGCTCCTCAGAGTAAACCGCTCCTCAGTGGAAACAGCTCCTCAGTGG